ACTCTTACAGCCCTAGCTCTTCACACAGGGCTAGGTGTCAGGAGTAGCAATGTAGTCCCACCCTATAGCCATGCCATATACATGTACCTGGCTATAGCAATGCCACACACCCAGAGGTAGGTGCCAGGTCCTACTAGGTACCCTTCTCCTAAATACAAAGCTCTATCTACAAAGCTAGGGAAAAACTAATGGCACCTCACAGCCTGGTGAGGGTTCCTACAGTCCTGCATGTGTGATTATTCACACACACACATTTGTATGTTTAAACCTGGTGTTTTGCTGTGGTTGAGAGGGTACATAGGAGAACCTAAAACCTAACCATATTTGTGTTTATTGACTTTGGTTTTAAGCATGGAGATAAATACCAGAACCTGACTTGCCTTATATGAATCTGGGGAGCTGTATCGGGGGTGTTTGCCTGTAGGTGAGAGGGTTCCTAGTAGCATATGACACCCTGTACATGGGACTTTGGCTGTATGGCAGTGGATGTCTAGGAGGACGTAATACCTAGCTAGCTTCCATGTCCTGATCTAAGTCTGTCATTTAGGCAAATTGAGGCAGGAACTCAAGCAGGAGCTGAGGCTGAAAACATGGAACAAACCTAGCTACCATCTTGCTCTTTATGGCTGGCTCAGTTTACTTATACAACTCAGGACCAACTTGAAGGAGTGGAGTCACCCACAGGGGGCTGGGATCTCCTACACCATTAATCAAGGAAATGGGTCCTGTAAGTGCTCATCAACTGCAAAGTCACAAGCCTAGTATCAGATGCCAACATATTAACCCTCTTTGTTAGTGAGCCATCTTCCTAGGTAAATGGATGGATTTGGAAAAGATCATATTGGGTGAGTGAGTTCAGATCCAGAAAGAGAAATGCCACAAGTTCTTTACATCTTCTGTTCTTAGCTCCCATTCTTTGGATGTGAGTGTAAAACACGGAGGAACCGAGAGGATCTACCTAGCATGACTGGATACCTTGATCTGCATGTATAAGTGGGATTCTTGCTCTAGGGGAGGGGGTACTTAGCAGGAGCTGAAACTTAACTCTGTATGTGTTTGTGGGGCTTTGAATGTGTGGGAGAAAAATGTGGTAAATCCAGATACAGCCATGTTTGTGTATGAGAGGCATTGGTTACTGCAGAGGGGACACGTATAAGGATGTACTCCTAGATTCCTGTGTGGGACTTTGGTTATAGAAGAGGATACCAATTAGGAACTGACATCTTGCTGTGAAGGGAGAGGAGTAGGAGTTGGGGTGAGTTTGTAACTAGCAGACCATGAAAGTAGCCACATATCGGGGAGTTTTCCCTGCAGGGAGGAATTACCATAAAGAGCTAGCAACATAGCCATGCATGTATTTGTGATGCTTTGGTTGTAGGGCCTAGGCGTGTGTGTGTGTGTGTGTGTGTGTGTGTGTGTGTGTGTGTGTGTGTGTGTGTGTGTGTGCTGGTGGCAGTGTTAGAGGGGCAGCAGGTGGCAATTGAAGTTCAAGGTGTCAGCTCATCAGGAGGCAAATTCCTGATGGATGAATCTTGAATAGGCATGGCCCAGAGACCACAGATGCCAGAATGTCTTTTGTTTCTGCTGTGCCAGTAAAAGACCTGACTGAGAAGACTATCTTGCTTGCCTATATGGTTAATCTATAACAAGTTGCTTGGGTATGAATGTATGTGGGTTCTTGGGGATAATTTGTTTTTTACCTGTAATAAAATGTGTAATCATGTAAGGATATGGAAAACGTGCTGTTTCTTACTTGTATTCGTTGTAATCATTCACTTGAAAAATAGAATGTAACCACACTGTATTTTTTATAGTGCCTGAAAGATATTGCTGGGGTATGTAAACTGTAAGGGAAAGAATTAAGATAGAGTTAGATAATAGAAGGAAAACATCAAGAGTGAGAGAATAAGGAAGAATAAAGAGAGGAGAAGGAAAACATCAAGGCAGAAGGAACATTTCTGGATTGAGATAAGAGAATACAGAATACAGAAGAATAAAGAAGGAAACCATCAAGAGAGTGTGAGCATCTTTCACTTTACCCCCTCAGAGAAAAGAGTTACAGTACTCCAACTCCTTGGATTACCCTTTGAGCCCTGTGCTGTTGGAGGCTGGTCCCTCAGACAATGATGTGTGTGTGTGTGTGTGTGTGTGTGTGTGTGTGTGTGTGTGTGTGTGTGTGT